GGTACACTGCCTTCTGCTCCTCTGTCCATCCATTCATTTCTGCCAGGAGCTCAAATTGTGTTCTATATGCTTCCCATCGAATTCCTGTGGCTTCATTCGTACTAGATCACCCCTGTTGCTGACACTCATGTCTGGAATGTGACTTCTGGCAGGACTGAAGATGTCTGCATTAGGGTTTAGCTGCAGGATCTGGAAGGGGCTTACTGTTTGTCTGGGGCTGATTAAGTCGATGGTTAATGCATCCTCCTTGTGTAAAAGACAACAAATAATCCTTCAATGCATTTAATTCGCTTTGAAATTTACTAATATTTTCCATTTATACTTCATGCTGATGTTGTACTCTCTCTCCTTGTTCTTCTTGCCACTGTTGCTGACTTCCCTGTAGTTGTTGGAGATTTTCTTCCTGTTTCTTTTCTTGTTCCAGTTGCCACTGCTGTAATCTCTCTTCTTGTTTATTTTCTTTCTCCTCCAACCACTGCTGTAGTCTCTCTTCTTGTTTATTTTCTCGTTCCTCTTGTTTCTTTTCTTTTTCCTCCAACAATTGCTGTAATCTCTCTTCTTGTTTCTTTTCTTTCTCTTCCAACCACAGCTGTAGTCTCTTTTCTTGTTTATTTTTTCGTTCTTCTTGTTTCTTTTGCTGTTCTTGTGTTGCTGCCATCAAATCTGATAAGTCATAGTTTGATTTGACACTTTTCGTTTACATTTTTTTCTGTCTTTTCCATCCCACTTTTTGACACCAATTTGTTGCGTATCTGCTTGTTTGTTAATTTCTTTCTGAGGAACTTCAGCAATACAAGTTCTTTCTTAAATAAAACTAGTTTATTCTTTCTCGTTACAAACTTTGTACTACACTTAATTTCCATAGTCACTTTAACTTAAACATACGCTATAATTCACAACGATTCACGCGTTTTACTTACGGTGCCTACCGCCCGCTTGACTCAACTATCCATGTCTATATCTTCAATCTCTCTATTTGCGATTCCAATTCCGATTAATTGTCTCACTTTATCTGGCGCGCTTATATGCAGGAATAGAGGGCGTCTAGCAAATACTGGATTATTCGTGATGTTCCCCATTCTTCTAGAAACTCATCACGTGTTACCAGCGTCATGTGACTTTCGCTGTCGTAACAATTCGTTTCTCGTCACTTTAAAGTTAACAACTTTT